GTCAGCATCCCGGAGTTGCCTCTTCACTGTTGACATTGATACTGGTGTTTTGCAGATACTATTTAATTAAGCTGCCAGTTGAGGACCTGTGAGGCGTCTGTTTCTCAAACTAGACACTAATGTATTTTTTAAATACAGTTTGAACTATTGTCATTTGCAATGGATGTAAAAACACTCTGTTGACTTTCTGTGTGAGGTGATGAAAAGAACACTGAGAAGCTCCGCAGCTCATAAGTGGTGGTGAGTTAAGACAATCAGAAATAAATGTACTATCAGACATCCCCAAATGATAACTTTTATAGGCCTATATTTGCACACAAATATATATACAGCCTACTAGTGAGTCTTCGCCACACACCTCTTCCCTTCATATTGTGTTGACATTTTAAATTAGGGATGTCATTTATGAAAATATTAAGATGTATTATTTTACAGTTTTAGAGTTTAGCCTTCAACAGAAAATGCATGTGAAACGTTAATGTTCACACTGCCTGCCAGACAAGTCAAAACAATTCTACTGGCTTGCTCAGCAATAAAGCGCTGCATTTTTTTATATTTCGGATACATATGGGTCCGATACAGATCGGACCCAATTTGGATCCGATTCTCCCTCATCTCGGATATATTTTGGGTCGGATCTTGTCCACCTCGGACCTGAATCGGATTTTGACTTTCACACAAAACATTTGCGGGTCCTGTCCGGTGTCGGATGGGAATTTCACAGATCCAATTCGGATCAGATCTCAATTTCAGTATGTGAGAAGACCTCTAATATACACAGTACTCACAGTCACTGGTTCAACTTAATGGTGGACATCACAAACCTGGAACTCGGCCTGCAGAAAGACATAGAATGCATAGTCATGGTAAAAAAAAAGAAAACAACTGAATAAACAAAATAGCTACTTAATTGAAACTGTGAATAGTTTTCGAAGTGAATGAAGCTCTCTCACCTTTTGCAAATTATTTCATGTTTATATCTAAAAGCATTTTCTTCCTGAAGTCTACAGTAATGTGCAAGGTTGAATACTGCAGCAGACAGAAAAGCACTGCAGTCCAGTGTGCATTTGGCCTAATGAAAACATCTTGATCTCCAACAAAAAGAGAGATAAAAAAGGCTCTCAAAAATGGATGACCAAAATATGATTCAAGCAAATCACATAAAAGCATGATTCTCTCATTTTGACAGTGGAAAAAAAAGTTGACCAATTTCAGAGCCTTGCTCTCCATCTTGGTTCTATTTAAGTTGATCATTCAAGTAGGCAATTCAATGGTCATACCAAAAAGTGAGGGGGGAAAAGGTCCAGAATAAGTTAATGACTGGTCTCCTTTCCAAATTACTATTTTCTTTTTTTCATTAAATTACTATTTTCACAAACAAGACCAGGCATCAAGTGAATAGAAGGCCAAGGGAACCTGCAAATTCAACTATTGAGACTAAGCCTCTACACTTTTCCTGACTGCACACTTTGTGAAAAACCTCTAAATTGGATTTTAAAACAATATAAAAACAGGTAAGCACGTGGAACCAACTACATGTGGTACCAAATGGATAAGCATTATTCGACGTTCAACAGTTACTGACACCACGTTTGAATATCATTAGAATATACAGTATATCACAAAATATGTATATAGTGTAACTACAGTGCCTTGCAAAAGTATTCATCCCTCTTGGCGTTTTTCCTATTTTGTTGCATTACAACCTGTAATTTAAATGGATTTTTATTTGGATTTCATGTAATGGACATACACAAAATAGTCCAAATTGGTTTAGTGAAATAAAAAAAATAACTTGTTTCAAAAAATTCTAAAAAATAAGTATCGGAAAAGTGGTGCGTGCATATGTATTCACCACCTTTGCTATGAAGACCCTAAATAAGATCCGGTGCAACCAATTACCTTCAGAAGTCACATAATTAGTTAAATAAAGTCCACCTGTGTGCAATCTAAGTGTCACATGATCTGTCACATGATCTCAGTATATATACAGGTGCAGCTCAATAAATTAGAATATTGTGGAAAGGTTAAGTAATTTCAATAAATCAATTGACAAAGTGAAACTCATATCTTGGATTAATTACACAAAAAGTGAAATAGTTCAAGCATGTATTTGTTTTAATCTTGATGATTACGGTTTACAGCTCATGAAAACCCCAAATTCAGTATCTCAGAAAATTAGAATATGACATAAGACCAGTGAAAAAATGAAATTTAATACAGACATGCCTTCTGAAATGTATGTTCTTGTACATGCAGTCAGTACTTGGTTGGGGCTCCTTTTGCATGAATCACTGCATCTATGCGGCATGGCATGGAGTCGATCAGCCTGTGGCACTGCTGAGGTGTTATGGAAGCCCAGGTTGCTTCGATAGCGGCCTTCAGCTCGTCTGCATTGTTGGGTCTCGTGTCTCTCATCTTCCTCTTGACAATACCCCATAAATTCTCTATGGGGTTCAGATCAGGTGAGTTTGCTGGCCAATCAAGCACAGTAATCCCATGGTCATTGAACCAGGTATTGGTACATTTGGCAGTGTGGGCAGGTGCCAAGTCCTGCTGGAAAATGAAATCAGCATCTCCATAAAGCTTGTCAGCAGAAGGAAGCATGAAGTGCTCTAACATTTCCTGGTAGACGGCTGAGTTGACTTTGGACTTGCTGAAACACAGTGGACCAACACCAGAAGATGACATGGCTCCCCAAATCACCACTGACTGTGGAAACTTCACACTGGACTTCAAGCAACTTGGATTCTGTGCCTCTCCACTCTTCCTCCAGACTCTGGGACCTTGATTGCCAAAATAAATGCAAAATGTACTTTCATCTGAAAAGAGGACTTTGGACCACTGAGCGACAGACCAGTTCTTTTTCTCCTTAGCCCAGGTAAGACGCTTCTGACGTTGCCTCTGGTTCAGGAGTGGCTTGACACGAGGAATGCGACAGTTGTAGCCCATTTCCTGGATACGTCTGTGCGTGGGGGCTCTTGATGCACTGACTCCTGCCTCAGTCCACTCCTTGTGAAGCTCCCCCACATTTTTGAATGGCCTTTGCTTGACAATCCTCTCAAGGCTTCAGTTATCCCCGTTTCTTGTGCACCTTTTCCTACCACACTTCTTCCTTCCACTCGACTTTCCATGAATATGCTTGGATACAGCACACTCTGAACAGCCAGCTTCTTTAGCAATGATCTTTTGAGGTTTTCCCTCCTTGTGGAGGGTGTTGATGAGTGTGACACCTTGAGTCTACAATATTGAACTTTTTCACAATATTCAAATTTTCTGAGATACTGAATTTGGGGTTTTCATGAGCTGTAAGCCATAATCATCAAGATTAAAACAAATACAGGCTTAAACTATTTCACTTTTTGTGTAATTAATCCACGATTTATATGAGTTTCACTTTGTCAATTGAATTATTGAAATTACTTAACTTTTCCACAATATTCTAATTTATTGAGCTGCACCTGTACACCTGTTCTGAAAGGCCCCAGAGTCTGCAACACCACCAAGCAAGCGGCACCACCAAGCAAGCGGCACCATAAAGACCAAGGAGCTCTCCAAACAGGTCAGGGACAAAGTTGTGGAGAAGTACAGATCAGGGCTGGGTTATAAAAAAATATCCAAAACTTTGAACATCCCACGGAGCACCATTAAATCCATTATAAAAAAATTGAAAGAATATGGCACCACAACAACCCTGCCAAGAGAGGGCCGCCCACCAAAACTCACGGACTAGGCAATGAGGGCATTAATCAGAGAGGCAACAAAGAGACCAAAGATAACCCTGAAGGAGCTGCAAAGCTCCACAGCAGGGATTGGAGTATCTGTCCATAGGACCACTTTAAGCCGTACACTCCACAGAGCTGGGCTTTACGGAAGAGTGGCCAGAAAAAAGCCATTGCTTAAAGAAAAAAATAAGCAAACACGTTTGGTGTTCGCCGAAAGGCATGTAGGAGACTCCCCAAACATATGGAAGAAGGTACTCTGGTCAGATGAGACTAAAATTGAGCTTTTTGGCCATCAAGGAAAACGCTATGTCTGGCGCAAACCCAACACCTCTCATCACCCCGAGAACACCCTCTCCACAGTGAAGCATGGTGGTGGCAGCATCATGATGTGGGGATGTTTTTCCATCGGCAGGGACTGGGAAACTGGTCAGAATTGAAGGAATGATGGATGGCGCTAAATACAGGGAAATTCTTGAGGGAAACCTATATCAGTCTTCCAGAGATTTGAGACTGGGATGGAGGTTCAACTTCCAGCAGGACAATAACCCTAAGCATACTGCTAAAGCAACACTTGAGTGGTTTAAGGGGAAACATTTAAATGTATTGGAATGGCCTAGTCAAAGCCCAGACCTCAATCCAATTGAGAATCTGTGGTATGACTTAAAGATTGCTGTACACCAGCGGAAACCATCCAACTTGAAGGAGCTGGAGCAGTTTTGCCTTGAAGAATGGGCAAAAATCCCAGTGGCTGAATAGTTATGCACGCTCAAGTTCTGTTTGTCTTATTTCTTGTTTGTTTCGCAATAAAAAATATTTTGCATCTTCAAAGTGGTAGGCATGTTGTGTAAATCAAATGATACAAACCCCCAAAAATCCATTTTAATTCCAGGTTGTAAGGCAACAAAATAAGAAAAATGCCAAGGGGTGTGAATACTTTCGCAAGCATCTGTATATTTTACTTGCATCTACTTCTTGTCTGAACTCTTGTCTGAGGTTGCATTGCTGTTTATCCTTCGCCAGTCTGAATACAAAAGCTAAGGTGCTAGAATGAAAAGCACGTTCATGCACATTTATTGAAAGAGCTGTCTAGGGAATGCCATCACCAGGTTACAGAGGCAGAGTTAAAGGTTCTGTACTGTATAGTCCTACTGTGGTTCATTAGTAAATAAATAACAAACAAATAAAAAAAGACTCATTCACCTATCGTCTGTCATGTCCATTCCTTTACAATTTCCATTCTTCTGCAGGTGTGGCAGAGAGCTTTTCTTCCTTTGCCTACACTGTCTGGAATGCTTTCATCATTGACACTATTTTTGGTTCATCCAAAAAGGACAGCCATTCCCAAGTGTGATTCTTCTTGCACATGTCCATGCCTTCAATGGCAATACTGACTGCATTTGGCTTAGCTTTTTGCAATTGATCTAATATTGCCAAATCCTTCCTGAATCGATCATTTTTCATTGACAGGAGCTCTAGATCGACTGGAAGCATCATACAACATACCTTCAGAAAACTGGCTAGGATCAACTCAACAATCTGAACAGTCAACTCAAAAAAGTCTGTGTCTGTCCACATGGTAAGCCTGTCAAACACAAGGTTCTTGGGTACCTCAATGTCATCAAACAAGCATGCATTTCCTTCAACAAGGTCTCTCCCATCTTCCTGCCATTCCTTGAGCTTGGTAACAAGGGTTTGGTATCTTTCTTCCATCTCCAACAAGTTTCCCTTCAAAGTCAAGGCTCTCCAGAGAGGATCAATGATTAGCTTGGAAACCAGACCCAGAGCTCTGCATCCTGCCTTGAACTGTTGAACCTCCAAATCAGCAACAACTGCTGCAAGCAAACTACTCTCAGCTCCGTACGTACTGGTAAACTCAACCAAATCATCATGGATGCTATACACCCCAGCAGAATTATGAAACAGACCATCAATTCTGTGTCCAATGGATAGAGACAAAGGAACTTCATCAAATTCTCTTTTGCTGGTCAAAAAGGTTTCGAACGGAACAAGCTGACCGTCTTCTGCCCATCCAAGCTCTTGCACAGCATCACTCACAGAATTCACCAAACATACTGTTCCAGACTCCAATGCTGTCGTCCCAATGTTAGGGGAGTTATGGACTCCTACTTCTTTATCTCCTAAAATCATATTTTCCCAAAGTAGAAGAGTTGTTTTTGCCTGGTGAGCTAAGCCATCAATCAAATGTAAGCCACAGAAGAGCTGACTTACAAGGGTCATCATTGTCTTTTCAGTGGAACTAAAGCCACCATGTTTCTCAACTATCACTGGTAGGATGTCTGATCTGTATTCAGCGAGGATTTGTTCAAATTTCTTTTCGGAACCAGTCCCAACACCAAAACAGTTTGAAAATGTTACAAAAATCCATCTCATCTGCTGCATTTCATCACTCGTAACAATTTCATTGATAATTGTCCTGCAAATGTCAACTTGGTAGTTCTCTGGGCATGGGGTTTGCTCTGTGACCCCAGAGTGAACATCAGACGCCTTTAAGCAGAAGTCAAGGGGTCCATTATCCTGGCCAAGCTTGACTGTTTCATCTGTTTCGATAGAGATGGTCTCTTCCGCATGCAGAGACCATACTGTTTTTGCATCAGCGACCACATATTTCAAACCGATCTTGCTAACCATCTTCTGATAGTTCATCTTCTCCTCTGTATCATTTGCCTCTTGTGTCCTTTTCGAATACAATTGTCTTTTTGACAATCTTGCAGGTGGAGTAGCTTCTTTTTTCTTGTATTGTCTAGTCACAAGAGGTATTATAAACACTTCTTTTGAAAATTCTTCATTTGTGACATGTTTCCGTTTAGCCATTCGTTTCAGTTTAGATGAAATATGTATGGCAAGTTGACAGCGTTTCTGATTTTTCAAATCTAGATCAAAATTATATTCCAGAATATCATAGACAGTATACATATAACCCCTTTTTGTATTTTTTGCAAACTTATGAACCTCATACATTACACCATTAGTCAGTAACTGTGAGTCAAGTTTTGTTTTGGATGCCGGTTTCGATTTCACATCAAGTTCCACACCTACTTCTTTGCACAAGGGGTAGCAGTCTTTCACCACTTTCCCTGCAAAGGGCATCACATTTGCCTGTTTAATGTTGCTGCCCAGGACCTTTGCTTTGTCAGCTGACAATGTGAGTTCAGTCTCGTTGGAGATGGTCTGTTTCTTCACAGACTGAGGACCTAGGCCTACTTGTCTACCTCTATGTAATTTCTCTGTCTTCATTTCTCTTGCTTTGCAAGTGGCTCTTTCTCCCCTTTTCCTTCTCAAATCTAATCGTCTTCTTTCTGTTACTTCTTTCAGTCCTTGATATTTCCACACAATTGAGTTGATTGAGTTAATGACCTGCATTTTACTGGAAATCACTGCAGGTTTCTTTCTTGTGCCAACCCCCAGTGAGAATGCTTCCTTTAAATACTGAGGTTTCCTTTTATGTGCCATGCATGTCATTTTCTTAACAACTAGTCTCAACTTTGCAATAATATATGTAGACAGCTTGGTTTTCTCAATAGGCAAATCAAGATCAAAATTGTGCTCTAGGACATCAATGACAATTTGCTTGTAAGTTCCACATACTTCTTTGGCAAAATTACCAAGTTCAATCACTACACCTTTGGTCAATAAATCCAAATCAAGTTTCTCTTTTGCCCCACAATTGGATTTCACATCAAGTTCTAATCCTATTTTCTTACAGAGGGGATAAGGGTCCTTCATTGTTTTTGATGTTGTAGACGCCATTAGATGCCAGTTTTGGTCCGTTGCAAGGCTGTACACTGTCCCACCAGCACACTGCGTTACATTGGTCTCAGTTAACAGGTTGTCTGTCTTGACATGCTGAGTAGGTCTGGATACGACGTCCAGATCAGATTTGTCCATTAAAAGCATGTCAGCAGGTTCAGGATTTTCTGACACACTGTCATAATTCTTTGCAGTTGAACGGGCATATTTCGATCCTTTTATCATGTTGGGATCAGGAAGGGTAAACACCTCCATTACGAATCCAGGTTTTCCTAGAACAGTTTTTTGTTTTCTCATCAATTCTCTTAAATTGTGCATTGTACGCGTCGAAAAATCATACCTTTGATGCTTTTGCAAACCAAGATCAAAGTTGTACTCTAGAATGTCACAGACAACATGCTGCTGAGCTCTATTAACTTCTTTAGCAAAATCAGAAACCTCAACCATCACACCATTAGTCAGCAACTGCAAATCTAGTTTATGTTTGGATCCAGAACCAACATTGAAATCCAAGCCAATTTTCTTGCAGTTGGAGTATGGGTCCTTCAACTCTTTTCCAGCTGAGGACCTTTGCGAAATATGTTTTGAGTATTTAACACGACGTTGCCACATATCTCCATCTTTTCTCCTTTTTTGTGCCTTTTCCGTTTTCTTCCCTCTTTTTTTTTTTTTTACGTAATAGTTTTCCTCTTGAGCAGAGGTAAAAGTAAATGGTTTACAATAGGCTGGAAGAATAGGCCTGTGAGTCCTAATACGACATGGCTGCAGCACTGGAGTTAAATTACTGTCGCTTGCTGTTGCAGGTGAAATTATTAGAAAGGGTTTGGTAATACTTTGGCTTGGGAGATTAACATAATCAGTCAGCACTTGATCATTGTTTAGGGGCTGTATTTGAAAGCTGCTAAATATCGGTACAGTTGGATTGATTTGTCCTCCGAAAGAAACACTTTCTGCAACTAGATGTTGCGACTGAGACGAGGTACATCCTTTTCCAATCTGAATATCACTGGGTGATAAGTAAAAACATGACTCATCTTTGATTAAATTCCCTACAGGGGTGCTTGGGTTATCCTGTTCTGTGTGAACAAGGACAACACCTTCATCACCCACGTTTACAGCTGTTTGAAGTTGAGCACCAACAGTTGTTGAATTCGTTTTAATCTCCCTATCGCTTGAATTTGTTTCTTCTAACAGACCACAAATACGGCTTTGTTTTGTTGTGTCATACCAATTTCCGGCATATGAATAACCTGCATCAAAAGTGTCAGACCAAATGACTGCTGGGGATATCTCCACCTCATCCTCCTCTGGCTTTATATCTACATCCATCTCACACCAACTAAACTAGCTATCTGGGTGAAAGCCAGGGTCAATTTAAATGTAGTTAGGCTAGACCTAGTCATTTCCAAGTAGCAGACCAGGCCTATCTCCTTAAGCCTATCAATCAAATGGATTTTATAAATCCCTTTTTACAGTGAAAATGAGGAGATTGAGGAAATAAGTAATGTAATATTAGATATAGTGGTGTAAATACTGTTGATTCCAAGTTAGGCCTATAACAACTGACCAAGGGAGTCCACCCACTCTACTTCTCTATGTCTGCTTGTAAAAGGACGGTTTATTACACCACAACACCTAAATGGGTGCCCTGTGTCCTTAATTACCCCTACACAGCTTGTCAAACTAGCTTTGCTCAGGCTACCCGACTAGCCTAACTTGCATCTCACTACAGTAACGTTAGATCCAATGAGAGTTGGCACATAACATAAGCGAATAGTGAGTACCTCCAAGTAGCCAAATCATCTAACTTGCTAGTTATGTATTGAGGTCTATATTGAAGGCAATTATGCCACTTACAAGGGCGCATTGACTGCAGAACATGAATTATCAGTACATGGAGTAGCCTATTGTTTGTCATAGACTTGCGTTGCAGATCAAATATCCTAGCTCAGCTAGCTAGTTAGCAATTGTAGCTACCTTGATTTTGCAAGTCCCTTAGCCTTCCATACGAGTTTGGAATTTGAAAAAAAGTTGGTCCTACGGCAAAGTACTTCATCTTCAAGGTGGTTAGCTTATTCCGAAAATGTAAACTGACTGATCTGAGTCCGACAGTGCGTACCGATACATTTGAAAATCATTCGAGACACTAAGCTAGCGTCTTAGTCACAAAAAATATTGTGGTTCCGGGTAACCAAGCTTCCTTTTCCGCTGAAAACCGGATGTGGGATTCCGGGTCTGTCTTTCACGCTCCTGATTCAAGTATGGGAAACTGCATACTTGGAGCAAAACATTTTTTTAAATGACTAACCCAAGATAGAGCCTGTCGTTTCTAATGGGAGCAAATTAATCATAGAACAAGCAAGAAGGTGGGCACAGTCACGCACGAATTCCTATTGGCGCGTTCTAGCATGTATTTGCATATTTCCGTTAGGGAATATCTACTCTGATGTGCGCGTGTGCAATAACTAAATACGCCCTTGCAGTCCTAAACAACTCAATTTAAAAAAATGTCTGCCGTTTTATGGACTCTTAACCAACCATGCTATTTTGTGTGTTTTTTCGCATTGTTTGTAACTTATTTTGTGCATAATGTTGCTGCTACCGTCTCTTATTTTTATTTTTATTTTTTATTTCACCTTTATTTAACCAGGTAAGCCAGTTGAGAACAGGTTCTCATTTACAACTGCGACCTGGCCAAGATAAAGCAAAGTAGTGCAATAAAAACAACACAGAGTTACATATGGGGTAAAAAACATAAAGTCAGAAATACAACAGAAAATATATATACAGTGTGTGCAAATGTAGCAAGTTATGGAGGTAAGGCAATAAATAGGCTATAGTGCAGAATAATTACAATAGTATTAACACTGGAATGCTAGATGTGCAAGAGATTATGTGCAAATAGAGATACTGGGGTGCAAAAGAGCAAAATAAATAACAATATAGGGATGAGGTAGTTGGGTGGGCTAATTTCAGATGGGCTGTGTACAGGTGCAGTGATCGGTAAGGTGCTCTGACAACTGATGCTTAAAGTTATTGAGGGAGATAAGAGTCTCCAGCTTCAGAGATTTTTGCAATTCGTTCCAGTCATTGGCAGCAGAGAACTGGAAGGAATGGCGGCCAAAGGAGGTGTTGGCTTTGGGAATGACCAGTGAGATATACCTGCTGGAGCGCAGACTACGGGTGGGTGCTGCTATGGTGACCAATGAGCTAAGATAAGGCGGGGATTTGCCTAGCAGTGATTTATAGATGGCCTGGAGCCAGTGGGTTTGACGACGAACATGTAGTGAGGACCAGCCAACAAGAGCGTACAGGTCACAGTGGTGGGTAGTGTATGGGGCTTTGGAGACAAAACGGATGGCACTGTGATAGACTACATCCAATTTGCTGAGTAGAGTGTTGGAGGCTATTTTGTAAATTACATCGCCGAAGTCAAGGATCGGTAGGATAGTCAGTTTTACGAGGGCATGTTTGGCAGCATGAGTGAAGGAGGCTTTATTGCGAAATAGGAAGCCGATTCTAGATTTAACTTTGGATTGGAGATTCTTTATGTGAGTCTGGAAGTTGAGTTTACAGTCTAACCAGACACCTAGGTATTTGTAGTTGTCCACATACTCTAGGTCAGACCCGTCGAGAGTGGTGATTCTAGTCGGGTGGGCGGGTGCCAGCAGCGTTCGATTGAAAAGCATGCATTTAGTTTTACTAGTGTTTAAGAGCAGTTGGAGGCTACTGAAGGATTGTTGTATGGCATTGAAGCTCGTTTGGAGGTTTGTTAACACAGTCTCCAATGAAGGGCCAGATGTATACAAAATGGTGTCGTCTGCGTAGAGGTGGATCTGAGAGTCACCAGCAGCAAGAGCGACATCATTGATATACACGGAGAAAAGTGTCGGCCCAATAATTGAACCCTGTGGCACCCCCATAGAGACTGCCATAGGTCCAGACAACAGGCCCTCCGATTTGACACACTGAACTCTATCTGAGAAGTAGTTGGTGAACCAGGCGAGGCAGTCATTTGAGAAACCAAGGCTATTTAGTCTGCCAATAAGAATGCGGTGGTTGACAGAGTCGAAAGCCTTGGCCAGGTCGATGAAGACGGCTGCACAGTACTGTCTATTATCAATCGCGGTTATAATATCGTTTAGGACCTTGAGCGTGGCTGAAGTGCACCCGTGACCAGCTCGGAAACCGGATTGCATAGCGGAGAAGGTACGGTGGTATTTGAAATGGTCGATGATCTGTTTGTTAACTTGGCTTTCGAATACTTTCGAAAGGCAGGGCAGGATGGATATAGGTCTGTAGCAGTTTGGATCTAGAGTGTCACCCCCTTTGAAGAGGGGGATGACCGCGGCAGCTTTCCAATCTCTGGGGATCTCAGACGTTATGAAAGAGAGGTTGAACAGACTAGTTGGTCTTATGACCAAAAAGAGCTTCTGGACATCAGAACAGCGATTACTCACCTTGAACTGGACTAAGAATTTTTCTTTAATGAGTCTGACGAGAGCGATTTGCTCCAGACACCCGACAGGGCCCTCATCCCCGTCATTCGAAGTAGAAAGAAAAGGAGATATCGCGGAAGGAGATCGGGGTGCCTGGTAAGGAGCCGGCGACGAGTGGCTAATCTGCCTTTGCCATCGATACTATTGGCCAATTTACAATCGCTTGATAATAAAGTGGACGAACTACAAGCACGTATATCCTACCAACGGGACATAAAAAATGGTAATATCTTATGTTTCACGAGTCGTGGCTGAACGAAGACATGAATAACATACAGCTGGCGGGTTATACACTGTATCGGCAGGATAGAACAGCAGCCTCTGGTAAAACAAGGGGTGGCTGTCTATGTATATTTGTAAACAACAGCTGGTGCACGATATCTAAGGAAGTCTCGAGGTTTTGCTCACCTGAGGAAGAGTATCTCATGATAAGCTGTAGACCACACTATCTACCAAGAGAGTTTTCATCTATATTCTTCGTAGCTGTCTATTTACCACCACAAACCGATGCTGGCCCTAAGACCGCACTCAATGAACTGTATACGGCCATAAGCAAACAGGAAAATGCTCATCCAGAGGCGGCGCTCCTAATGGCCGGGGACTTTAATGCAGGGAAACTTAAATCCATTTTACCTCATTTCTACCAGCATGTTAAATGTGCAACCAGAGGGAAAAAAACTCTAGACCACCTTTACTCCACACACAGAGACGCGTACAAAGCTCTCCCTCGCCCTCCATTTTGAAAATCTGACCATAATTCTATCCTCCTGATTCCTGCTTACAAGCAAAAACTAAAGCAGGAAGCACCAGTGACTCGGTCAATAAAAAAGTGGTCAGATGAAGCAGATGCTAAGCTACAGGACTGTTTTGCTAGCACAGACTGGAATATGTTCCGGGATTCTTCTGATGGCATTGAGGAGTACACCACATCAGTCACTGGCTTCATCAATAAGTGCATCGATGACGTCGTCCCCACAGTGGCTGTATGTCCATACCCAACCAGAAGCCATGGATTACAGGCAACATCCGCACTGAGCTAAAGGGTAGAGCTGCCGCTTTCAAGGAGCGGGACTCTAACCTGGAAGCTTATTAGAAATCCCGCTATGCCCTCTGACGAACCATCAAACAGGCAAAGCATCAATACAGGACTAAGATCGAATTGTACTACACCGTCTCCGACGCTCGTCGGATGTGGCAGGGCTTGCAAACTATTACAGACTACAATGGGAAGCACAGCCGCGAGCTGCCCAGTGACACAAGCCTACCAGATAAGCTAAATTACTTCTATGCTCGCTTCGAGGCAAGTAACACTGAAACATGCATGAGAGCATCAGCTGTTCCGGATGACTGTGTGATCACGCTCTCTGTAGCCGATGTGAGTAAGACCTTTAAACAGGTCAACATTCACAAGGCCGCAGGGCTAGACGGATTACCAGGACGTGTACTCCGATCATGTGCTGACCAACTGGCAAGTGTCTTCACAGACATTTTCAACCTCTCCCTGTCTGTAATACCAACATGTTTCAAGCAGACCACCATAGTCCCTGTGCCCAAGAACACTAAGTTAACCTGCGTAAATGACTACCGACCTGTAGCACTCACGTCTGTAGCCATGAAGTGTTTTGAAAGGCTGGTCATGACTCACATCAACACCATTATCCCAGAAACCCTAGACCCACTCCAATTTGCATACAGCCCCAACAGATCCACAGATGATGCAATCTCTATTGCGCTCCACACTGCCCTTTCACACCTGGACAAAAGGAACACCTATGTGAGAATGCTATTCATTGAGTACAGCTCAGCATTCAACACCATAGAGCCCTCAAA